ATGATTGAATCGAAAACCAGAAAAGAGAATAATCATCTTTGATCTTTCACAAATTCTTTCTCTAGGATAACTTATAATTTCTAATATGGAAATTAAAAAATGGGGGAGAGGGACAATCCTTCACATGATAAAAAACAAGCAATGCAATTTTCCAAAAAAAATTGCACCAAATGAAACTATCAAGTTGTATACAAGGTTCCATCATACTAACACATTGATGCTGAAAAGTAGTCCTTAGCTACTAATAATTAGTGAGTGTCATTCATGTTTTAGATAGAGAACATAATAAATTCTCTGCCATCATCACATACCATCAACTACAAGATATTGATTTCACTCTGACTAAGAAATATAAGCTCTATGTCTGTGACAGAGAGACAGATAGAAGGAGAGAATCATACTTACCGAAACAGGTTTAAATACTATATACTACATGCACAAACATCACACTACAAAGATGCCATCCTAATATAATATCATTCTCTCCAAGTGAGCATCAGATGTTAAAGTGAAAGGTTAAAATTTAAACTACTTACTAAACGTGTGCTAAAACCGATGAAATGCCTGTCCCAAGAACCCCAGCAAGAAAGCCTGCATACAGGCCTTTCAATCCCTGCAAGATAAAACACAGCGTGTAAGTAGAACATGCATAGTATGACATGCACAAACTAAGTACCTAAACCAGAAGTTTCTCTCTCCTATATTAATCAGTGTTGTTAAATAGAGGCACTATAGCGCTATTACATGAAGAAATTTGAACAAGTCACTATTTTTCTGTAATGTGCTATTTAATACAAAATATTTTGAAGAGCGGGATATAACGGTGCCATAGTAGTGTTGCATTGCAAAACTTAAACAGGCTGCTTTTTTTTTGCAATTCGCAAAAAATGACATTGATATTTAACCTCACAAAGTAAGAGCAATCGTGAGGTGTAAAATGAAGTCTGAAGGCTTGACGCTTGAGTTAACATTTATTAACAAACAAGGATAAGTGGCCTTCACAATAGACACTCCAAAACGGCTGGCACATATTATATTGGATACTTCTAGTCTAACTTACATAATTTTGGCTCAACTTTTTTAAATTTAATAAAAATATCTCAACAAAGTTTAAAGTTAATGAATGAAGAATTTTTTACTCTATCCAAACATAAAATATACATATGAACGAAATTCAATTGCCAACAATTCTAATTTCCTAGGAATTTTCAATTACCCTGTCTAAACACACTCTCTTAGCTTCCATTGATATCACTAATACCAGAAAGAAACCATAGTGCTGAAATTTGGTCCTGAAAAATGGCTATACTGGGGAAGTGTCAATGGTTTAGCAATCAAAGGTTTTAAATAACGGTTGCGGCCACGTTACGGTCACGTAAAGGCTTTCACGATTTCGGTCTGTACATGTGTCGCGACGTGATTGTGGTCGTCACGGTGTGAATTAAACAAAATTTGTTCTCTATCATAAAAACAGTGTCAGCACCTACCAATACCTTTTTCGCAGTAACCAACCGTTTATTAAAACCTACTTTCAGTTCAGTTACTAAAAATTGTAGAAAAATAGTCGTATTCAGAAGCCATAAATTGAAACAAGTGCATTGTGATCATTGAACCGCAAACAGAAAAATGCAAATTCAATAACGATAGTAATTGCAAAGTAATGAGCTAAGAAAAACACAAACGTCGAAGCGAGCAATGGTGAAAATGGCATGAGCGGTGTTCTTGTATCTAGGAAATTGAGAGAAGAGTCTACCGTCGTTAACTGCGAAATCAAATCATGGTTTAAAAATTTGAACAGAATGTATGGCAAATATAAAGGAAATCAAAATCATATAGATGAAAAAGAGAGAGAAAACCTTGAAGCCTAGTTGAAACAAGGTCGAGGGGGTACTTTACGGTTACGGAGGCGATTCCGGATATTAAAAAAGCTACGGGATATTCCCATGGCAACTTATCGCGCTTGGGCGGCGGTGCCGTCGACATGTGAGAAGCTTTGAGAATAGAAAAATGGAGAATGCGACGGTGAACGCGAAGGTGAAGTGCGAATCAAGACTACTCTCACTCTCACTCACACTAGTAGTAACTGTTATTGTTAGGTGTAACCTTGAGGAGAGAAATTTGTAAATTTGAATGCTTGGTAACCGGTAAGGCCGGTAGCAGGTCACACTTTCTAACTGTCTAACAAACTCAAATCCACGTCATCTTCTTGTTATTTACGGTTTTAAGTTTGTTAGAATTTCACTTCCATAAATAAATAACGTGTCTGAAAAAGGATAATTATTTTTAAGAAGTGATTTATCCTTTTTACATCTTCAATAGTATTATGTTCAATTTTAAAATACAAAAAAATTATTAAATTACTGATATATTTGATATTTGATCTATATTATTTAATAAACTTGAGAAAAAAATACTGGTTTATATACGAGATAGGAAGGAGTACTTCTTTTTTACTCGTTATTTTTATTTAGACTTTTTACATGTACTAAGATAATTAATAAATTTTATTGATTGTAATGTTATTATTTCTCTTTCTTTATTTTTTTATAATATTTTTAATTATTTATTATTTAATTTCATCTCATTCTCTTTCTCTCTCTATAATAATTAACTAAAATATTATTGACAAGTAAAAGCAATAAATAATTTTAAAATAATTTAGTTTATAAATATAACAGGTAAAAAAATGAACAAGAGGAATATTATTTTAATTATTTCTATTTTTATTAAATTAAATAAATAAACAAACTTTTTTTTTAAGAATATAAGATATTTATCAAATATATTTGTGAGAATTTGAGAGATATAATTCCTGAAAATTTTATTATGAGAAATAGAGAAAAAATGATTGGTTGATAATGGACTTGTATATGAACAATATTCTCATTTTGTGACTATTCAAAAGTTCAATACTTTTTTCGCACTATTTTTTAGCTCAAAAGTAGTACTAAATTTATCTTAAGAATAGTCAGCTTATGGCATATATGAGATTGTGTGAAGAGAGCAGTCTGGCATTGAGAGATCTAATAAAGGTTTAGAAGTTGATTGAGTTAAAGTAAAGTGTAACTTTCTAGATTTCGGTCTAAGATATTATTTTAAAATTTTCATTTACTTTTTAAAATGTGATTATATTTATTTTTGTGTTTAAACAAAGTAATCACCGATAATAAATACTAATCACAGTTAAATGAAAATAATTAATATAAACTATTTAAGATGTTACGTCTCTAAAATTTTAATAATAAATAAATTATTTTATATAAAAAGTTTAAAATCTTTTATTAAATTTTACGATCGCGCACAATATTTTATTCTTATAGAGTTGTAGTTTTACATCTTAAATGCAGTAGTATCTAATATGATATTTGTAAAGGATCAATCTTCCATTGTACATATCAAATCAAACAAAACATACAATACAGTACGGTATTATAAAACACATCATTCAAGTCATAATAGCTTAAGTGAAATTAAACTCACATAAATCCTTATTTTACCATTATCTTTAGATGTGAATATGCATACTTTTAAATTTAAATGATCTGAATATAATCAGTCCACTACTAAGACATCGCCCATAATTCATTCCATAATAATGAGGAAGATAACCTTCTGCAAGCTTATGCTGCCATGGCTTCATCAGCACCAAGTGACATCACATCTATTATACATCATGTCTCTCACTCCTCTGTACAGTACATGGTACATGGACACAGCTGCATCTTCTCACGTACTAGCATCACAAGGTAATATATAGTCTTATTCTAATTTGAGTAACTTAAATCATAAACTGTAGTTTGTTGGTAGTAGACAAGGTATTCCAATTCATGTTTTCACACCTCCCATATACACAAACCATACCCACCTCCCATAAACACAAATCTTTAAACCTTATCCATGTTTTCACATATCACAAATTGTCAAAATTTTGATTTTTATGCGACAACTCACTACTGACAATAATGTTTCTGTTTCTTTTTATCCTTTTTGGTTTTCAGTCAATGATTTTCAGACGGGAATTTCACTCATGAGATGTGATAGTCTTGAAAATATCTATCTAGTTAATATTTCATATCATTTTGTTGGTCTTTCTTACCATCTCTGACACGACTGTCTCGGACATCCCAGTTCTTCAGCTTTGCAGTCTCTTCATAGCAATAAGTTCATCAATTATGAACACTTGAATTATACGACGATTTGCACTTCCTACGTGTTTGACAAACATTTTAAGTTGCCTTTTGTTTCATCCAATAATGTTACCGTGATGCTATTTGATATTTTACATAATTATTTATGAATATCACTTTATATTTTACATAGTTATTTATGAATATCACTGATTTTGAGTCCAGCTGGTCATTGTTATTATGTTTTATTTTCGAATGACTTTTATGATATTATGTGGACGTTTCTTCTCACAAATAAATCTCAAATTTTTGAAATGATCATTTCTCCCTTAAATCAAATTTGCTCACAATTATCTCAAATTGTCAAATATTTTTAATGTGATGATGGGTGAGAATATGATAATATATCTTTTCATAATCATTATACTACTAATGATCTCATTTTTTTCTTCTTTTGCTCTCACACTTCATCACAAAATAGAAAGGCAGAACCGAAAATGCGTATCATTAACTACATGATTATATTTTTGTTCCTCTCTCATTTTGGTATCCCGCGCTTCAAATGATTATATTTGGTTCCTATCTCATTTTGGTATCACGCGTTTCAAATGGCTACATACATTCTTTCCGTATAAGGTAAGGTGACTTCAGGTTCTATGATACATAGGTGAGGAAAGATCCGATAAGAAAACGTACAAAATATTCGTTAATAAAAATTAAGTATTCACATTATTGGATCACATAGTGTGTAGCAACCCATCGTTAAAAAGTGATGAGAAAAACTAGTGATTACTCAATGCCATAAATATGAAATCAGAGGAGACTAACACCAAAAAAAAAAGAATAAATCATCATAAAGTAAAAGGAAAATACTCAGTCATTCTTTCTAGCTAGTTTTAGTAATTTTATAACATTTTCATAAACAATAAATGTTATTGAAGAAGCAGGAACGTTTTTCAAGAGGTTTGGCGTGATTCCCTTGTAAAAACCTCGGACACTTTCAAATCTGCAACAACAGAACATAATCAATAGTAATACACAAAAGATTGGTTCAATTTGAAATTTTCAAGAGCATATCAATTCTTTTGCAGGGTTACACGAGAGTCAGCCTATTGTGTTGCAAGGTTGCGAGGTCTAAGAAATGCAAACATTTATCATACTATCATTCTTAACCCACTTCACCTCTGCGTGTTTGTCAGTGAAAAGATGCATAGTATATCTGAATGGGTTTTAATATGTACCGTGCAGTTTCTTTCACAACATGCCAACTGTCCATATATCTTGGTATCCCATCACCACCGGGTCGTTGCTGTAGAGAGAAAGAAGTTTCAGTCAGTTTTGAGAAAGATACACAGTTAAAAATAAGCACTAAGTATTATCCCTATCCTTGTAACCAACCACACTCTGATACCTGCAACCGGGACCGGATAACCTGAAAAAAGAGGAGGAAAAAAAAGGCAGTATGCCATATGAGAAAGCTACTTCTTTGAGGATTGATATATTATGTTCAAGAAAGCTAGAGTTCAAATCTTTCTCCTTCAAAAGACAAGGGGGCATAGAGTTGTACCTGAAATGGATAGGTTAGGAGTATTGCAGCAACTTTTGATGTTGCTCCAAGAACAGCATAATCAACAGAATTCTGGGTAAACAAATAAAATATCAAAAAATCACAACTGTAAATCTTGGAAAATACCTTGAGTAATTGCATTTGCACATAACATTCAAATGAAATAATTTATAAGCATCAAAGAGCACTATAGCAGGATGCTAAGAGAGCAAGATTCAAAATATGTCTTAAAAAGCCATGAGTTTGTCACAAATGAAATATAAGATATTCATAAAGCTACATTTCTCTCGTTTAAAATGTCCTAGAATTCAAAGTATCCATTTAAACAACTTAAAAAAGCCTTAACGTATGAAAGAATGGTTGGTATAATATTTCAATCACTTAAATATAAATAGTCCAGTACATGGTAGGTATCAGATTTAAATGGACCAAAAGTCCACTAACTTACCAAGAGTTGATCAGGGTTTTGATTTTGTATTTCACTTCCCTTGCTCTTCAAATCAACAATAGTTTTACGCAGCTCTTCGTAGGCGGTGAACTGAATAGCACCATGAGAGACCTGCTGAAGCGCACAAATTCAAGCGAACTCTCTATAAACAACAGGAAGACAATAAAATGTGTGATTTTATAAATACTTAATATAGCCAGCAGCCATCAAGTTTTTCAAAAAAGTTAAAAATCATGTGACCGAGCTCATGACCTCTATCATTATCAAACATATTGTTAGAAATGAGATATGACTAATGAAAGAGGTCGTGAGCTCGGTCACGTGATATTTTAATTTTTTTGAAAAACTTGTTACCACATATATTATTGAGATAGTTTGAAGAGTTTGTAATCTATTTCTAACATGGAATATGAGTGACTACTGGAGACGATATGACTTGACCAAGTCATCCAATGACATATGTTAGTGATCACGAGAGAATCACATAACAAATAAATTCTTTAACATTTAACAGAAATTGAATGAAGTTTCTGATAGTCCATGGATTTAATTGGCATAATCAAGTTCCTGGTGGCTAGTTGCAACTGATGTTATGTTCACTGAAGATTGGAAAAGAAAAAAAAAAGACCTTTATCTTTATCTATGCACAACCCCACGTATTATATTTATCTTTTATTAAATTTTAAATGCCAAGATCGACAAAAATAACAAAAGCAAGCAACATACCAGAAAAAGACCAGGAACACTCCCTCTGTAAAGTGCACTAAATCCTTCTTCCCACATAATGGACCTAAATGCATGACTGTTTTAATTTTAAAAGATGATATTTCGTGAATGATTAGCAAATCATATAATGATGAGTATGTGTATATGATAGAATATAACAACCAGTTCATCACAATCGACAAATTATGCTAACACGTGTTAGTGACCATGTGCAAATCAGATGATAAACTAATTCTGATTGTAACTTGACAGTAACTAATTGGAAGGATCTATCGTGAGGTTTCTGATGGTTAATGGGTTAAATTGGCAGGTCGGATTGAAGAGTTTGTAGCGGCTAGTTGTAACTGGCTCAGTGTAAATTATCCATTGAGCTTTTATCTCTTTTTCCTTTTAAGACCTTTAATATTTATTTAAGCTCAACTCCACACATTATAATTTTAAGGGCCAAGATTGACAGGAAAGATAACAAGAGGCAGCAACATACCAGCAATAAACCGGGAACAATCCCTCTGTAAAGTGCACTAAATCCTTCTTCCCTCATTATGGTCCTAAAAGCATCTGATATTTGATTTTACAGATAAAAAAAAATGTTATAAAAAAATTGTATGGCTGGTTAGCAATTCGTATAATAGTGAATATAACCACAATATGCAATATATACAGTGACTATCATGGTTTAGCTTTTAGGTAGCTGAAACTTGAAAGGAATAAGATGAATGAGTATGCTTAATACCGAGTAGAAATTAGTTACTGAATATAGATAACACGTGTAGTATAGATATAAATATAAAACTTCCCACAACCTTTTTTTGGATGACAAGGATACACGTGCCACCAAATACTGTGATTCCAATGAACCAGTCAGTGAAAATGAGCTATCTTTCAACATATAAATACTGATTTCTAGCTTAGTTTGGCTAAGGTGATTGAGATTAAGACAGTCTATGCGTAAAAGATAATATTTAAGCTATTAAATTATAGCTAACCTCTAGAGCCAAAGTACAAACGACATGAAGAAAACAACAACAACCAAGCCTTACCCCACAAAAAGACATGAACATCATGAAAATTAATCCAAAGTGAACAGTTCAGAGAATAAAGTTAGTGTAAGATGGAGAGTAGACCATATAGCCCAGAGTAAGGACGCGTCTGATGAAGAGGAGTCTGAAGCTGCAATCTTGTCTTCACTAGCCAAACAGGATTTGTGCAGAAGCAAACCTGACAATAGGTGAAGGAAATCAAAATGACTGTAGGTTCATGTCTTGATCCCCCATTCATGAATGTGCCGCAATAAGTTTGGTTGGTTTTGGAGCACTATTCATCCAACTATGACAGCTAAACAATCTCTCAAATATATGCACACATATATGAAAGTAGTAAAGTTAAGCATGTTAATTCCATAGTTGCGTACTATTCAAGCAACACTATCATTGGGAAATATATCTAATACAGTTTTGCAAAAAGCACTTCATTGTGTCATTTCTTGTCACTCTCGAGCCTGACAGAAACAAAATTATAAAATGCAAAAACCAAGGGAGATGCTGAAACTTTACTCAAAGCTGCAACAATAAATAAAAACAAAATGCTAGCAGGATTGAACATATTCTCTATCCAAATATCTTAATATGAATTATAAGTGTGGATGTCCATTTATAACATTGTATTTTTGAGCACTCACCAAAGCTCCTGCTTCCGCAGCTGAGGCAAGATGAAGACCCGGGCTCAACTTCTCCTCTCTGCTCCTAGCATATCTTTGTTTAGCTCTGTCATAGCTACAGTTGCAAAAAAAGAAGATGGAATGATGATTTTGGTCTTCAAGGAAAGCAACCAGAAAATCCTTTTGACATAATAAAAAACAAGCAATGCGATTTCCCCCAAAAAAAATAAGGTGTTAGATGAAACTACCAGGTTCTATACAAGGTTCTATCCTACAAACACATTAATGCTGAAAAGAAGTCCTTATCTATTAATGAATAATGAGTGTCATGCAAGTTTTACATAAAAAAACAGAATATTTATATTCCATCCTCACGTACTGTAGACTACAACATATTGATTAGGCCATGATTAAGAAAAATAAGATATGCGTGTGAGAGAAAGGAGATAATCACTCTCACCTTAAACAAATTAAAATTTAACCAGAGAAGATGCATACTACATGCAAAAACATTAGATGCGAAAACAAAGAGTCTGCCATCCTAAATCCTGATATAATATCATTCTCTCAAAGTGAAGGTAAAAATGAGAGATTAAAACTTCACTCAATACAATTATCTTTAATGCTTGAAATTGCTACTTACAAAAAGAAATATAAACCCCAGGATATAGTTGACCCAAGAACCCCAGGAAGAAAGCCTGCATATAGCCCTCTTAATCCCTGCAAGAAATATTGCAGAACATTAGTAACACATTCTGGTATAACATGCACAAAGTACCTAGAGCAGAAGTTTCTCTCTGATAGAACTGGTTGAAATTTAAATTAAATACTGAAAAGTTACAGAGTTATTGCACATATAGCAGTTACTAATAACTAGACAAACATCCTATAATATATTAAATAAACGATTGACTAATATTATATAATTTCTGCCCCAAACGTGATTGAATCTCTAGGCTTCTGCTTAACATAGGTCCTCGTGACATGAGATGTATTACTAACAGTCTCCTACTGTAATTCGTAAGAGATGTCAAATTACTAACGCCAAATCCATCAATTGTAATAGGAAACGAAGGACATCAAAGCCTGTGATCCTAGCAACAGACGTAACAGCTAGTTACAAACTAAGGTTTCTCTCACAAAAGTACGAACAGGCATGAGGTGAAAAATGAAATCTAAAGGCTTAACTTAACATTCACTAACCAACAAGGACAAACGACCCACACAAAAAAGGGCACAGCTTACAGCCTAGACACCTGTGATTTGTGAAACACGCTCCAAAACAGCAGTCATACCAGTGTTGAGCACTTATCATTTTGGATACTTCTAGCCTACATATTTCAATGGCGCGTAAACTCCAGTACCAGTATAAGTGGGATACCACAATTATTTGATACCAAAGATAGTATATTTTATAATGACTGGTGCTGACTTATGAAACAAGGATGTATTCATTATAGTTTAAAATTTCTGTTTTTCTATGTTACATGTCAACGTGGTGTTCATCTTTTCTAGCTTGATACAATCCGTCACCAAAACTCAGTTTGTATGGATATCACTGGACACCCTGAAGATCATAGTGCCATTTATGAGTGATTCTGAAAAATAGGTTATACTAGTAGCAAGTGCCAATGGATACCTAGTAAGTTTAGCAATCAAACGTACTTCTAGTTCTACTTTCTAGAAAGTGTAACGTGTTATGATAGCTGAAGAGCATGAACGGAAACAAGTGATTCGTTATTGTTGAACTGCAGAAAATCATAAATTTTAACTATAACAGTTCGCAACGGAAATTGAAAGAGGAAAAAACATGGGATTATGTCAGCTAACTAAACACAAACCTCGGAGCGAGTAATGGTGAAAATTGCGTGGGCGGTGTTCTTGTAGCTGGGAAGATGAGAGACTCGGCCATCGTTAACTGCGGAATCAAATAGTAAATCAAAGAATTGAATACAATGTAGGGACAAAACTGAAAAATATATGGATTTAGATGAAGATTAGAAGGAACCTTGAAACCTAGTTCGGACAACGTCGAGGGGATGCATGACGGCGACGGTGGCGAATCCGGCGGCGGCACCGGCAATGGCGTTCTCCCATTGCCAATGGTCGCGCTTGAGCGCTTCCGTTGACATAGAATTGGTTTAAGAAGAGATTGAATAGAATTGGTTTTGTTCTTCTCTTTTTTGGGATCACTTCTCTCGACTCTCGAAGTAGTAATTTGTCTTGTCACGTGCAACGTTTGATAAGAGAAACTGGAAATTTGGATACTACTTTAGCAAAACACACACGCTTTCACGCAGTACAGGATGAGAATTTCATAATGAATTCTATATTTTACTTGTGCACCATTTAAAAATATTAAAATGTTATTTAAATTTTGAAGATGTATATACATCAATGTTATAGCTCATTAAATGAGTGTGATTATAGATGAATACTAAAAACATTTTTAAATGTATTTTTGAGTATTTTTAATAAATATAATAAAATTTAATAAGTTTGGTGGTTATTCTAAAGATGTATTTTCGAAAGTTTTGGGTGAGAATTTAAAATTTACTGTCACATTTACATGTCTGATATTTTTAGAGATATATCTCTGAGATAATTTGATAAAACATAGAACTGTGTGATCACATTGTCATACTTGTTTTTCACTCAAAACGCTTTCATTCAATCTTGTACTTTATCACATCAAAAGGAGTAAAAGAAGCTGGAATTTCATGTAAAGATCATATATAAGTCTCATTGCTCACATTAATCTTATTTACTGTCTGAAAAGCTAGTGTTTTTTTTCCAGAGATACATTTCTAGTACAGATATGAACTTAATCGAAAATGCATTTTCGGTATCTATTTGTGTTCATTTTTTCAGCACTATTTACAGCATTAGCGCTTATTTATTGTTTTGTGATAATTGTTTTTATTAGATATGGTGCACCTTGATATTTTCTCCAAACAAGTTGTGTCTCCCACTATTAAAGGTGTTACTGTGAATATGGTAGATATTGGCAACCAATTTAAAAATAAGCAAGAGTATAAATCTTGTGACCACATGCTTTGATGGATTCGTACGGAGGCTTTCAGACTAGAATTTGGTGTGGTTATCGGAAGGTCTGATAATGGTTCGGATAAAAGATGTGCTTTTGTGACAATGACGTGTGAAAGAAGCGGAAAATATAGACATCCTCTCTGGGATTTTAAACGAGAAGACACCGGTTTAAGAAAATGTGAATGTCTCTTTAAGGTGTGTGGTTATATGTTGGCAAACAAAAACTAGAAATTTAATTTCATATATGGTTTGCATAATTGTGATTTGTGTGAAAAGTTAGTCGGTCATCCAATTATGTGTATGCTTATGCCGAAAAACATATGTACACCTTTGAAATATAAAAGACCGGAAAATATCTTAAATATCAAGCAAGTGTACAATATTCGGTACCAAACTAACAAGGCGCTTAGGAGGATAAAACTGAAATGCAAAAATTCTTGAAACTGTTGAATGATAACAATTATGTGTCTAGATACCGAACGTGTGATTTGGAATTACCGTTAGAGATATATTTTGAACTCATTCGAATTCCATCAAGTTGTTCAACATGTTTCCTATTGTGCTCATATTTGATTCAACATACAATACCAACAAGTATAGACTTCCATTATTGGAGATGGTTAGGGTTACCTCTACTAAGAAGACCTATTATGTCGGGCTTGCGTTTCTAGAGAGCAAAAAAAAAAAGAATGTTACTTAGGCCTTAGAGGTGTGTCGAACAATATTGAAGGACCGTGAAGATATGCCTAAAGTGATTATTACTGACCGCAATACCGCCTTAATGAATTTGGTTGCAAAAGTATTTCCTATTTCTTATACAATACTTTGTAGGTATCACATAACAAAGAATATGAGAAGTCCGGTTAAGCCTTCGATAGGGACGAAAGAGATAGAGTCTGAAGATGAAAAAATGGTTCCACTAAATAATTATATGTTGATTCCGTTATGCATTTCAAGAAAGTGTGCGAAGAATATTCTGATTTGTTGAAATATGTTAAAAGCATAATTCTTGACTAGGTGAAGGAGAAAATTGTTTGTGCTTGGATGGGTCAGGTTAGACAACTTGGAAATACAACAAATAACTGAGTTGAGTCTGCCCATGCTACATCGAAGAATTGGTTGAGAAATAGTAAGGGCGATTTGTGTAAAGACAAATGATTTAGAACCAACATAATGAGATACATACATCATTTGGTCGGAGCGTCACAGTTTTGGAACACAAAGTTAAAGACAACAATCTTTATTCTCAGTTGATCGACAACATATCTCGAGCAGGTTTGAATTATATTTTTCACGAGGCTAAATGAGTTGATAATGTAAGCACCATAGCACAAAGTGTGAATGCGCAGTTGTGAAAACATATGGTATCCCATGTAATTATGTTATTGTAAAATAGGTAAAACTTGGTAGCCCTACAATAATGGATGAAGTTTGCACTCACTAAAAGATACTTCGGTTCGATGATGATGGTGTCATGAAAAACGGCAAATCGAATATCTCTATCTTGATCGAATGAGAAGTGATACAAGAAAGGTTTTTGAAAGTTGATGACAACATGAAACTCCACATCAAAGAATAATTGAGGAAGATTTCTTATCCGAAAAACACCAACTTGAAACCACCCTCTCAATTGATGAAAACAAAAGGTGCTCCGAAGAAGCTCGAGCCTACACCGAATGACAATTCGACGACACGGTCTCCTTCATATTTAGAACATGTTGGCAAAGTTTTTCCCGACTCACCAACTCCAAAATCTCAAAAAAATGTTAAAGAAGCTCGCATTAGAAAACCACCTCTTTTGCCGTCTCCGCCGAAGATTTCATTCATTGACGAGATGTCAGTTGTTTTGCACATGCAAAAAAGCGAATCATCAATGTTGAGGGGGACGATAATTTCTGTTATCGATTTGTTTCGGCTTGACTCGATAAAAGAGAAGATAATCATACATTTGTCTGGCATCAACTTATCCAAGAGTCAAGGACTCATAAAGAGTCATACACGCGACTGTACGGAAAGAAAGAACACTTCAATGAAGTTTATAAATCTCTTGTTCCTTGCCTTAGTGGACCGACACCTGAGGAAAAATGGATGTGCTTCCCTAAAATGGGTCACCTCATAGCATGTGCGTATGATAGAGTGTGTTGATCTTACACGATGCGATTTTTTGGGAACTCTTTTCCCATTGTGTATTGCCCTACCTCAAAATCTAAATGATCGTATTATGTGTATTCAGTGGCTTTCAAAATCATGAAATTTTGTTCAAGTTTACTTGAAATCAGGATGCTTTATATCACTTACATCACCCGAGTGGACGACTTATTAAACATCAAAAACCGAGACTTGGTCAGACCATTTTATGGAAAGGATGCTGTGATTGGCAGTGATTAACCGAAGAAAACAAAAGAAAGATTCTATGGAGAAAAGCCAAAAAGTTTGGTGTTGACAGATGGACTGCAAGGGACCGAAAGAGAGTAACGAACCAAAGACAGGTATTGACTTTGAGGGAATTATGGTATATTAACTAATAAATAATGATTAACCGAGAAAAAAGAGAAAGGAAGTGGATTTAACCGGTAGACGGTAATCAACCAAGAAAAACGGGTGTGGAACCAAGCAAAGGTTGTGACCCAAAGAAACAGTACGCTGACTAAACAAACAGTACTCGACCAAAGGAAATAGTATTCGAATCGATCAAAGGTTACTAACCCAAATTTAGAAGCATCCGAACTAGAGAAAGGTTACTAACTATGGGGGATTAAATGTCTAACAGACGAAATGTGATAAACCAAAAAGAATGAGTGATTAACCAATAGAAGGTGATTAACTCAAAAGAAATCTGGTTTTAACGGATGGACCGTGATCAACCAAAGAACGAATAATTAACCTGGAATGGTGATTAACCCAAAGAAATCTCATTGTTAACAGATCGACTGTGATTAACTGAGGAAAATGATGTTTAACTGACAGGCAGTGATTAACCAAAGAGGAAGGAAAGAGAACCAAGAGAAGGTTGCAAACTCTGGTGAGGATTAGGTATCAACAAAAAGTCTATGTTAAACCGAAGAAAGAAAGTCAACTTCACTGGGGAAGAAGAGAAAAATGTTTTAACCGAAGGACGGTTGATCAATCAAGCAAGAATATTGAATAAAAAAACTCAAGGGAAACCAAGGATGACTACTTCCAAAAAGGATGTAAGGGTGCAAGTGATCAAGGATCGACTCGACTATAGGAACAGAGGAAACCACAGTAAGAAGATAGAGACGACTATTCCAGGCATAGGGTCATTCGTTCCCTACCCAAAATAATCAGAACGAGTGTAAGAATTATCCACTCTGATTCCTTCTATAAAACCAAAGTACGGTGCAAGAAACGAAACAAACAACACAACAACGCAAAATTTATACAGTGCTCCGATGCGTTGCAAATCTTCAACTCAGCGGGGGGAAAGAGAGAGGACAAAACTCGAGAAGATCCAAAGGAGGAGAAAAAAGGAAGATCTATTAATCGAAACAAAGTTTCGATTAATTAATCAAAGGGCAAAGATGTGCTAACAATTTTTCGAGGGAATAGAAAATCATTAAAGTAAAAAGGGAATTTATTAATTATATAAGATTAAGTTCATTTCTAAGAGGAACAAAACTTAATGCAAGCAAGAATGAAGTGTAAAACAGTACCATAGTCAATTATCATGCATCACAACCTAAGTAATCATGTGATCAAAGATTAGACAAAAATGAAAATATGCAAATAAATGCAAAATCGATAAAATCGGGTATTGGAAAATGCACAAGCATACTTCAAACAGAAGTTAAAACATCCATAAAAATCAAACAAAAGTTAAAACATTCATAAAAATCAAACATATCAAACCATGAGAGTTGAAAGAGGAAAGAAAACCAAACATACATGAAAAATGCACAAAAATGGGCTTCTGGACCATTGTTAATCGATTAACCCTTTAAAACCAGACAGTTTTTACTGAAAAATGCATGGTTAATCGATTAATAATGTGCCTATGTAAAAGTGTTAATCGATTAACAATTTGCCTATGTAAAAGTGTTAATCGATTAATACTGAGACAAAGCCTGAAAAATGAGTTTTCAAAAGCACTTTTGTCCAATTTTGATTTGTGCAATCCTTCACATGTTAGGGCAAACAATCATGCACGAAAATCAAGTTTAAAAACAACAAATAAGCACTTATGTGATCAATTAACACATCAAGATTGAAGATCAAATCAATGCATAATCAAATCACAAACGAGAAAAACGTTGAAACTACATCATGAACGATACGGTAACGATTAAAACAATGAAAATAGTGAGAATTAACCAACCTATAAAAGCTGAGATTTGCCTTGAATTTTGGGGATTGTGAGTTTAGGGTTCTTCAAAAATATTTGGAGATTGTGCGTTAGAATGAAGATAATATTTATGTTCTCTTATAAATATTAGGTAAATATTATGTTAATTTAATAAAATGAAGTTATGTTAATTTATTAAAATAAATTTAAAAACAAAATAATAATTAATGACGTGACAAATAATTTTTAAAACTTGGTCAAAGTATTCATTGCCACGTCATAAGTAAGACTACCACATAGGCAAAACTGAAAGGAACCAAAATAATTCCAAAAAAAAATAATCAAAATAAGGGACCTAATATTTGACTCTTTTTACGAGGGATTAAAAGTTCAGAAAAACAAATGAAGGGGGATCAAAACTATATTTAAGTCATTCATTAAATAACAATTTAATTTAAATTATTAATTATGTAAAGAAAAGTAAAAGAATATTTTACTTAATTAAAATTAATTTTTAAATCCTAGTCATCTCTGCCACCAATACAAAAGTAGAGGGAAACCACGTTAATCCAAAATCCATCAAAATTAAAGAATCAAAATCTCTAGATTTTATAATAGAGAAATAAATACCGTAGTTAAACTTTTTATTTTATTGATTTGAATGAGTAACGTGGGCACACCCCTTTTAAACTTTTTATTTTATTGATTTGAATGAGTAACGTGGGCACACACCCCTTTTATATGGATGCTAACCTTTTTTTTTATGCTAACCATTTTTTAGATATCAGGCTATCAGCCATTCTTCAAATGCTAACCCATTTTTGAGGGTTACATTTTTTTACTCCCTCTAAGATCTAGAGTTTAATGATACTATATTGTCAATGTAAAAAATATTATGTATATATTTAATTAAAATATTTTGAAGTGTTAAATTATATAAATAATTTAAATTTTATAGACTGATTTGACAGAATACATGATTGTTATTTTTTGACATTGTAAAAATAATTTACACTATCAATACACCATCTTTTCTCAGATCTATTAAAATTATAACGGTACAACTTTAATTTTTTATTATTACATTTGATCTACTAAATGCATATTTTTGAGCAACATAAGTTAAATAACTAAATAATTACTTAATAATATTTTCTTTTTAAAATATTATGTTTGTATAATTTATGCCTTTTTCATATTTAATTTTAATTTTATTCTTAATTTAGAAAATTATACTCTCTAAACCTTTTGCTTTTACTATTATTATTTTAATTTGTTGATAAGAGTTGACTACAAAATTGAAAAACTCACGTTTGCGTGTAAGGTGCAAAATATTTTATATCTATTTAACTGCACCACCTTCGTTCGTTCTGGTTTCGCCGTCTTACCGTTCTGCTTTCTTTTAGGTTTTAATTTTTTCTCAATTTTTATCATTTTTAATTTAATTAATCTATTCCTATCTTGCAATTTCTCTCTCCACTTCGTTGATCTCTGCTTGTGCAAATTAGGGTTTGAATTTTTTGCTTCTGAATCCATGAAATCAGATCTACCTATATTGCATGCGATTATATTGCTTAGTTCCATGCTTTTTTCTTCATTTATGCTGTGATTTTAATTATGAATAAAGCTGTGTTAGATTGATTTGATTATACTGGATTATTTCTCTGCATGTAGCTATGCTTTTGTAGATTTTGGCTTATGATTGTTGAATGTACGATGCAGGTTAAATTGACATAGTTTGATAAGATGGGAGGTGGGTTTAGGGTTCTGCACTTAGTAAGACCGTTTCTTCCGTTCCTTCCTGAAGTTCAGACTGCTGACAGGAAGGTGCCATTCAGAGAGAAGGTCATATATACTGTCATTGCTCTTTTCATTTTCCTGGTTTGTAGTCAGCTTCCTCTATATGGGATACACTCGACGACGGGTGCAGATCCGTTCTATTGGATGCGTGTTATCCTTGCTTCAAATCGTGGAACTGTCATGGAACTTGGAATCACTCCCATTGTGACTTCTGGGCTTGTCATGCAACTTCTGGCTGGATCGAAGATCATTGAAGTGGACAACAATGTTCGAGAAGATCGGGCCCTATTGTAAGTTCACAACTTTTTTTATTACCCTTGTGTATAATTTATTGCTGTTAGATCCTGTTGAGTATGATGCAGTTCATCTGTTACGGTTGCAACATGATTGCTGAGCATGCTCAATTGAATCTGTTTAACAGAATCAGTTTTGACTTGTGGATCTGAATTAGGATCTGGTTAGAGCTTAAGTCTATGTATGGACTTTCATACTCAGAAATGGATGAGATGACAGTGGTTGCCCATTTGTCACACAATCCTTTATTTAATGGTGTATGAAATATAATTTATTAAATGCATGTCATGTTATATATGCTGTTTTCTTTAATAGGTTTTCACTACAGGGTGGTATAATTATTGAGTTAAGTTCCTTTTCTATGACAGAAACGGAGCACAAAAGCTACTTGGTATTTTGATAGCTGTTGGAGAAGCAGTTGCCTATGTTCTTTCAGGGATGTATGGTAGTGTGGGCCAACTTGGAGTAGGAAATGCTATTCTCATCATCATTCAGCTCTTTTTTGCGGGTATTATTGTGATATGTTTAGATGAGCTTCTTCAAAAAGGATATGGTCTTGGTTCTGGAATTTCCCTATTCATAGCGACTAATATCTGGTACATTTCTAGTCTCTGCTAATAAAATATATCCAGCTTTAGTCTATGAAATTGGTGCTGTCTTATATCTATTTCTAACAACCAGGGCATCTTTCTTTTTATCGAAAACTTAGAAGAATTTCTCTTGTTATTTTACAGTGAAAACATTATATGGAAGGCATTTAGTCCCACCACCATTAATAGTGGACGTGGAGCTGAATTTGAGGGTGCTGTTATTGCTCTGTTCCATTTGTTGATAACTAGAACAGACAAGGTCCGTGCTCTTCGTGAAGCATTTTACCGGCAGAATCTTCCCAATGTGACAAATCTTCTTGCTACTGTCTTGATTTTCCTAATTGTGATATACTTCCAAGGTTTCCGTGTGGTCTTGCCAGTAAGGTCAAAGAATGCCCGAGGACAGCAGGGTTCTTATCCAATAAAACTTTTCTATACCTCCAACATGCCCATTATTCTTCAGTCTGCTCTTGTTTCCAATCTCTACTTTATCTCTCAGGTAATAATAATTTTATGATAGGCTGGGCTTGGCATTTTTGAATTTTCTGTTGTATCAATCTAATCTTATTGGAATTGTTCAGCTTCTCCACCGTAAGTACAGTGGAAACTTCATTGTAAATCTGTTGGGAAAATGGAAGGAATCTGAATATGGAGGTGGTCATTCAATTCCTGTTGGTGGTATTGCATACTACATCACCGCACCGTCCAGGTAAGAGACATATTCCCTGTTATACTTATTGCATATAAAGCTTCCACCATTTATAAAAATGGGGCTTCTCTCTATGATTTGATAAATTCAATTTTTTGCTGCATATATTTTGCAGTTTAGCTGATATGGCAGCCAATCCTTTCCATGCTCTGTTCTATCTTGTGTTTATGCTGTCAGCTTGTGCCTTGTTCTCTAAAACATGGATTGAGGTTTCTGGTTCGTCTGCCAGGGATGTTGCGAAGCAGTTGAAGGTAATACTAACTAGCATTTTTTTTTTCCAATTTGCCTTTATTTTTGCCTAGACCTATACTAGTTTTGCAAGGATTTGTGCTTTTATTTATTAGAAAAGATTCAACTGATGAAGCAAAATACTAGCTATACTTGGGTTTTAAGTATTCCTTAAAAACCACTAATACCGTGGTTAAAAACAATGTTATTTTCATTGTAGTATAAATTTCTGAGTTAACTTTAAAGGCTACTCACATGAAGCAAAATACTAGCCATACTTGGGTTTTGATTCCTTAGAAACCATATACTGTGGTTAAAAACTAAATATTACTTGTAGGGCCATTGACTGGCCTGCTGGAGGTGCATGACTAGTTGCACTCTGTCGTACTTGCTGGAGTTAACATATTCCTGTAAGTTATCTATACTTGTAGGGCAAATTGACTGGTCTGCTGGAGGTGCACGACTAGTTGCACTGTTATTCTTGCTGTAGTTAACATATTCCTGTAAGTTATATCAGATATGCTTTGGCATGACTACTCCTGAAAAGGAATAAGAGCATATGAGTTGGTTAGTTTAGAACAAGCAGTAGTTAGTGACTTGTTTTTACTGATTTGAGTGTTGTGTCAAATTTTAATTGGGATCCTTAAAGTCAGAAATCAACATATTTGTTTATCCGTAGTGTATATAACAATGTCTTCTTCCTCTCTGCTACTTTTATTTGTTGTCTTATGAAGTTTCCGGTGTTGGTTCAGGGTAAGGTCAATAATTTGAGCAACTTATTTTGTAACCGAGTTTGTTGCTGGGGAACTCTGTTTTATTATATGAGAATTTCATCTTTGTATTAAAGTTCATCTGAGTGAGTAGGTTTTTAAATTTCAACTGATACATGGTTTTTAATTTGCAGGAACAACAAATGGTAATGCCTGGACACCGTGAGTCAAACTTGCAGAAAGAGCTGAACCGATACATCCCGACTGCTGCAGCATTTGGAGGCATATGTATTGGTGCCCTAACAGTATTGGCAGATTTTATGGGGGCAATAGGTTCAGGGACAGGGATTTTGCTTGCAGTAACAATCATTTATCAGTACTTCGAAACATTTGAGAAAGAAAGAGCCAGTGAACTTGGCTTCTTTGGTTTCTAACTTCTGCCAAGCAATTACTTTTGTTGTGACACTTACCATTGTATTAAGTTATCACTGTACTTTAGATCCTTTAAGACCAAGAGTAGTTTTTTTTTGTTTTGTTTTGCATGTTTTTATCTACTGAGGAAATACATGACATGTAAGAGTAATTTATATTTTTGAATTTTCTCGAAGCATATATTTGGTTTTTGTTAGATCCATGAAGTCTGACCAGTGACCCCAAAGGTTAAAAGTGTGATAGGTTAATTATGGAAAAGCTTAAGTGGGTGATATACTTTTCCATGGCGTACGTGAACCTTTAAAAGAGTTTTGTCATCTTGTGTAATGCCAGAGCAGGAAAATGGGACTGTGATGCTGATGAACCTCTAGTCCCCCACTCTATTGCTTTTTGAACTTGCTACTAATAAAGTTAGTGTTTGATTGTTTTACCCCTTATTTTTTCAAGAGCTATGCTTAAAATTAGGGGTGGACAAAAACCCGAAATATCTGCCAAAACCAAAATTATTTTCACTTGAATGGGTGAGCCGGGTTGGATGTGCGGGTGAACAGGTTGCCAAACCGGTTTCATAAGGGTTTAAATAGGCGGGTTCCGATTCAAAATCTAAATCCAGCGGTAACCGTACCGCCCATGAATGCACATGCAAATGACAATATATCATATATCAGTGAGTCAATAGTTGCTGAGAGTAGGATATGCACTCATTTAATTAATCATTTAATGTCTGAAATTTAATTAAACATTTAATGTCTAAAACTCCGCCGCTCGAAGTTCTTAAAATATTTTATTATGCAGCTTTATCTTCACATCAATACTACTATAATAATTAGTAGTAGTGAAAATTAGTAGGTAGCTATAAAGTAGGAAAATAAAACAATCTCATTTAGATTAGAATTATTTATTTTACATAAATTGTTCTTTGAAATTCTAATAAACATTATTTCATATTTCTCTTTAAGTCAAGTCAGAGCATTGTTAAGTCAAGTCAGAGCATTGTTTTACGAGATCACACAAAGAAGATGAAGAAAATCACTTTTTCCCTCCTTCATTTCTTTATCGTCTTTATTTTCTTATAGTGCATCAATTTTTTATATTATTTTATTCTTTAATTAAAGTTTTTGTGTTTGTTTGATTAATATTTAAGTTTTATAGATATAAAATTGATGAAATAGATCTGCAGTTTAGATCCTGATTTCTTCTTTTAATTTTTTTTGTATGTTTACTTTTTCTGTTAAAAGAGATTGTTTTTTACCCTTAAACCTGCCCCGATCAAGCTGCAAACTCGTATACTGTTTGATCCGCAACCCGTCCAATCCGCAGTATTTAAGTGGACGGAAATGGACTCTATTTTTTCATCCGCGGTTTGGGCCGGATTGTTCATTAGGGTTTGAACCCGCTCAACCCGACCCGTTGTCCACCCCTATTTAAAATCATCTTGAAAAAAATTTGTTTGTTTGGAAGAAAATATGTTATTAACGGTACCTTCAAGTCCGTGTGATCTACCACAGATTGCTACTTGTGCAACTCTTTTTATTTAAGAAGTTCATACTTCTATAACCAAAATTTGAAAGCGAATCATGACATACAAGAACATAACTCATTTTAAAGTAAACAATTCATATTATAGGGTAAATTGACCAAGGGTCAGTTGGATTCAATTGAAGGGAAGGAGACCGATTTTTATTAAGGGAAAGTGAGAAGTTGAGATTTTAATTACATATATGTTTGATTTAAAATATGAAAGGAGAGAAGAGACATTTTATTTACAAATATGTTTGGTTCACAAAGAGAGGGAAGAAGGTAGTTTAAAACTGATTTACTTTTTTATTTTTCTAATTTATTATAAGACTGCATTATTTACCGTTTATAATTCAAATATAAATTTATCGACGAAATATAAATATTCAATTAGAGATCATCATAAAAGATTTTATAAAAGCGTAACGGTTATAATATATAATTGGTTAAATTACAATTTTAGTCCCATTATTATTATAAACAAAAATATTACGATAATTAAAAATTTACATTATAATATAAAAAAAAAATTTAAACAGATAGTAATAATAAGATGAAGATATAAAAATACAAGAAATATAAAAAGGAGGATTAAATTGGTTTAAAATAAAACTTTTAAACATTGTAATAAGTTAAATTTATATTTAAATAAATAATAAGGGTAAATAAGCAAATATAATTATAATTAAAATTAAATTATTCCCCTCTCTTTCAAATCCCTCCAAATCGGTGGGAAAGAAAAAGTGGCTCAAGAGAGATTTTGGTCCCCTTCATCTACCTATCCCTCTTAAAATTTGAACCAAACACATAAATTATTAAATGTTTCCTCCCCTTCCCTCCATTTACCGCCAACCAAACAGACTATAATAGTTTTCAAACACATAAGAACAAAAGAAAAACAAAAAAATTCATCTAATTGCGGCCGCACAAGCGCAACTTGAGAAATAACGTAACTTGCCTTGTCACGAGTGACATTGGAGTTTTTCTTATTTTTTTTATCAATACAACTTGTATTTCATGTTCAATTACACTATGATGGATAATTGAGAGCATTTCTTATTACACCCCATGCATTTCTTTTTCACTGTGTGGATTTCCACATATATTCATAAATTCTGGAGATATATCTCCGGACGCACCAAATGTCTGACTAAACGTTAATAATATTCCGGAGATATCTCTCCGAAATTATTTAAACCTTAAACTGTCACAACATATCTTCCATAACTCATTTTTAATTAAATATTTCCGGAGATATATCTCCGAAGTGTATTAGAACAAGTTTTTTTTATAACGCGTTGTGTATTTGTTCGCAGATGAATTATAAAATAACAGACATAGAAAATAATATAACAATATAATATAGTAATAGGATGACATACGTCACGAAATCCAAAATGTAGTAACAATGTCAGGAAAAACGTACAAACTATATTACAACAACAAAATAAATACAAACAACTACTAGGTGTGCCTGACAACCTCTCCTCTACTTAATCTGCTTCCTCTGTCTCCTCGACCATAGCTCCCTCCCGTCCTCACGAGATGTCTGCAGTACAAAAGTGCCCCTTGTGCCTCTACAATAATGCCATTTAGTACTCGCTTGACAACATACCCTCAAGAAAGATACCCTCATCAATGCCTTCTCGTGCCATCTCCACTATGTGATGAAACCGAGGCAAGACATCCTCAGTATGATCTAGTTGAGTCTGCTCTTCCTCTAGAATTTTCTAATGAGCAGGTCTTAGCGGATCTCCTAGAGCAGTCAACATCATGTATGAATGTGAGTCCCCGAAGAACCACCTGATGTATCTGTCGACATAGCTCCAGTCATTCGACGCTATGGTAGTCCGAGCCTCCTCCGGTACAGGTGACTCTGATAATCAACAAACATCTCCTATATCTGTATACGAGTCAAAGCAGGAGGAGCAGATACAACAGGGTGTCTAGGGATGGTCTAGATGTACCCGAACCGTCGTATGACGCACTTGGGCAGATAAGGAGCAGTGATACGCGATCCGCAGGCCAACCATCCAAAGTATAGAGATATGTCGTCAAATGTCCGCGTCTGACGGTGATCCATGTAGCACTTGAAGTGGATGTATTCAGCAACCAAGCGGTCAAGATAGACTCTAAAAGACTTGACCGTATGATTCCCTATCAGCGAGATAAAAGCATAGGCACATGACATCTCCCTAGTGTACTCATCCCAACACACCTAACCAGCGATGCGCGAGAAGTGCTGCACGATTCATGCTTGAAATGAAAATAAAAAGCATTCAGGAATTTCTAATTATCAGAAATATGAAATGAAAATGACAAACAATATTCAAGGATAAAAATTATTACCACCAGTAGTGTCGTGCTACCTATGACCTGCTTCGTCCTCCACTAACATCCATCTCTCAACTTCGAAAACAAATAGGCCAAACAAGCCGCCCCCAATTGTACTCATGGATCCATGTGAGATCTAAAGAAGTATCAGAGGTATGCAACATCAGTATAGGTGGCACTTGTGTCCACAAAATTCACAGTTCCAACCAAATAAAGAAAATATGCCCTTAAAGCATAAGTCTTGTGTAAGGGCACCCGCTCATCACCATCAGCGATCTCATCATCATATATCTTCTCCAGGAACGAAAACCTAACATGAGCACCCCTAACCCTATTCACTTTCTCAAACTCCTTCCCTGAATCAACCCCCAGATGCTCCACCATCATATCGACTGCCCCGTCTTTGGTCATCCTACCATGATGAGGAATCTCCTCCCGATCGGAAGATGCAACAAAGACGAGACATTGTCAAGGGTGATAGACATCTCACCATGCGAGAGATGAAAATAAGACGTCTCAAAACACCATATCTCCATGAATGCATTAAGTATCCCGTGGTTGACCAGAGTGTAACCGGTCAAGCATAGGTCACTCAACCCAGAAGCGGTCAGAACTGTCTAAAACCACTAGTCTTTCGCCTGATGCAATGCTGTAATCTTCCTTCCATGGTTCAAAAACTTATGGGGATCACACACCTGCAAATTTCAAGAAATAATCAATGTTAAAATTAATCAATGTCAGGAATTTAAATTAACGTCAAAAAAATTCATCAAAAATGACACTAATGTTACCTCTCAGTCCCAAATATGTCTGACAGTATGGTCTGGATATAGAGGAAGTAGGGATATATCAAATGGACCCCCTCCGAAAGCGTCTGAATTGGCATTAACAACTTCACCTTTCGGAGGTGGCACCTATGCATCAGGATCATCAACAACCTCACCCTCTAGAGGTGGTACCAGATCAACAGGAGGTTGCATAGGTGCATCCCGACGCCTACGAGAGGATGGGGGAATGACGTGTCATATGGTGCATCCCGTCTCCTGCGGGAAGAAGAAGAATATAGAGTGGCTTGTGATGTAGATGGAGTATCCTGAGGTGAAGGCCGCGCCCCAAAAGTGGACTGTGCCACAAGAGTGGGCTGAGCCTCAGAAGTTGACTACGCCCCAACAGTCGACACCTCTTCCTGATCAAAGGTACCTGCTGCCTCTAGAACCTGCTAGCTCCGCTCCCGTCGAACGGATGCGTGCTAGAAACCCGTCCAAGTCTCAATCGGTCGACTCTGTAAACCATTATGCTTGCAAGATAAAATTAGTCGTACAATGAGTTTACGCAAATGAATAGCACAAACAAGAAAATTATAAAATCAAAAGAATAAAAGAAACATACTGAGGAAAATCCGGAGATATATATACGGAAACATTCCGCAGATGTATCTATGAAATTCCTCAGAGTACATGAAACATTGAATTTTTCTGGAAATGTATCTCCGAATTTTTCTGAAATTCAGAGGTCGCGACAATGGCGTCTTCGCCCCCCATAATGTGAAGTTTGAAGTCTTGATCGTCCATTTGAACCAACAAACAATACATACACTTACTCTAAACTATGTTTCAGCTGATTCCTAATCATTTGTACACATATCAATGGATTCTAACTCGTTTACAATAAAACTCGAATATTTACCGAAAACTCAAAAAACTTATCTGAAATTTATGATTTTGAAGACGTTGAATGATGAAGTGATTGTTGTTCGATGATTACTTGAGTCTTAGATGAATGAAATCAAATTTGGTGAAGTTGAAGAAATTTGGAAATGACAGAGTGGAAGAGTTAATAGAAAGTGAGGGAAGAGAAGAAGAGTCTGGCACATTAATATACTCAAAAATGTTTCAGAGATATATCTTTAGAATATTTTAACATTAAATGAGTTTTTGTGCGTCCGGAGATATATCTATGAAATAATTTAATGTTTAATTGAAATTTGATGCGTTCGGAGATATATATCCGAAATAAAAAAAGATATGTAAAAAATCACATAGTGTGTAAAAAGTACAAAGGATGCAAAAAGAAATACTCATAATTAAACTCCCAATTGTTAGAGGTGAGTTATTGAGCTTATGACATAACTTTGTCCCTTTGTATGCAATTGTTATATTAATGCAATTGTTATGTTAATGAATTGTTCTATTGTTATTTATATAATATCCAATCTTAATGTTTTTTTTTTGTGATTAGTCTTTGATAAGTTGATTTGTAGTTCATTTCGCAAAATGGAAGTGAAATATGTAAAGACTTGAATTAAATATTCTAGTTAATTAGTATTACTTAAGACTAGCGGTGGAGCTACGATGAAACTCATATTCGTGTTATTTACGTGCTTAACTAACTAACAAAAGCATTGACGAGTTCCTCTTAAGTTACAAAGGTAATTGAAATTTTTTAAAAATTTAAAATTCTATACAATTTAAATGATTTAATTAAAATTTCTTTACTTATAATTTTTTTTTGAATAGAGTATTAAAATTATTTATTGTTTAATTTTTAGGATATTTCAATAAATTAAAACAAAAATTGGGTCAAATTTTAAATATAAAAATAAGGACCTAGTTGCGATCCTAAAAAATTTAAAGAACCAATTTGTAAAATTTAAAAATTATTAAAACCAGTTTTCCATTTTTTAAAAAATTTGTAAATTTTAAAAAATATGGAAACCACCTTGTAAGATTAAAAATAATAATATTCAATTTGACATTTCCATTCTATGAAATATGAGAATAATTTCAAAATCATGAATTTTAAATGGTATTTCAAAATCATTAAATTTAACTTAAAAAATTATTTCATAAACTTTCATTATTTTAATTATTATTCATATTTTTTTATCCAAACAAAAAAGTCTAAATTATTTTAAATTCCCTCAAAACATTTCATTTATCCAAACACACAAAGATAATCACAAGGTTAAGCTCTCATGCAGCCTCAATGCTTCATAGCTTGAATCATCAATTATGAAAAGGATGGGCTAAAATGGGAATGAGGTGCAGCACGCATACTGCACAGCAAAAGAAATTTTGGTAATATCAAATTTTCAGTGGCTCATTAGTCATTACAAATGATTGTGAGGTTATTGTGGTTCAGTGAACATCCATCCAATTGGGTCTATAAATCCATAAATCAATTCTACTAACATTGGTTGAAAAATGATAAAAAAAAAAGAGCAAAAAGAACCAGATACAAAGGAAAAATAAAAATGACAGAGAGAGAGAGGTAGCAGCATAATGAGCTCAGCTAAGTTTTCAAATACAAATATAACATCTCTGCATTATGAGAAGACCTTCAATGACTTCCATCCCCTGCCAATGGAAACATGGGTGAGGAACTAGCTGCTACCAAAACAAAATCTCTTCGCCGTGTTTTGTTTTTCATCCTGGCTTTTTCCTAGACAGCTCCAAATATTAAAAGCCAATTAGAAATAGAAATTGCCAAAAACCTTGAGCAATTACAGAAAATGTACATATTTAGCTTTATTCCATATTATCAAAATTCAGAACATACATATAAACATAGAGAGCATATGGGATGTTAATGTTCCCGCATGACAAACAAATGCCATTTATTTGTAATGCAAATATCTAATTCAAACTTTAGTTTATGCTGTCACAGTTTTCAGCATAGAACTCATTGTCAGGCAATAATAACTATCAACCTCCAATCATCCAATGCTCCAACCCTTTTGTGTAAAGTAAATGTCACACCATTTGCAGGAACCAATTTAACTTTTGGAGAAAAAAATATACAGATGTAAAAAGACAGACATTGGTTGTTGTTAGAACAGTGCTGACCTACCGTAATTTGTCTAAAGGAGGGATGATTTAATCCCACCGAACCTAAGAGCTTCAAACTTTGGTTGTTGATAGAACAGTGCAGCACTGCACCAACAATTTCTTTTCCTTTCTTTCTCCCCCTACAAATAGTCATTGTATAACTAACTACATCAAGGAGCCTCAAACCTCAGTCAAGAAAAAAAGCACAGCTCATTATAATTTATGTTACTTTCAAATTATTTATTTCTATTTAGATGCAAATAAGAGTATCCTAGGCTAAACTTCAGACAATGCGTATATCTAACTGTAGAATTAGAGTAAGATCTTCCTTCCCACCCTAAGTCTATTCACTCAAACACAAATAGTCCACCAGGGATAACGAGTGTATGAGAAATACCTACGAAGATAACTCGCCTTAGTAAGCAATAAGTTCACGGGCTAATAATTGATTTCATTTTCAGCAAATTATATCAAATAGTTTCTTTAGGCTGCTTGGAAGTTTGGAGGTGACTGCAGGGCTTTGGGAGAGAGTAGAGAAAAAATGGATATTTTTTAGTACTTTTGAAAAGAATGATAAATGAATACTTATTATTAGTATATGTTGGACTTTCTGCCTTAATTGCAGTCCGCCCCTAATCACCTTAACTGCAGCACTTTGGCTTGCTTTCATTGCAGCCCCTAATACCTTCATTGTGTTGGCTTTTGGCTTTGAAGGGGATTTAGTCCCAAATTGCTGAGAGATATGGCCTGTGTTGTGTTTATAAGTGAGAATCCTCACCATACAAACCGGTTTTATAGGGATGAGTTAGTCCCAACTCAAATTCTGAGAGTATATATTTTTAATATTAAGAATAATATAACTACATAAATTAAATTTAGAGATATTATCAAAGCACTCCAAAGAAAAATCAAAACCCTTCTCCAATACAACTTTTGAGTTCTCTCTGATTAGGGGAATTTTCTCTGACGAAGGAAAAATAAACACTTCAAAGCCCTCCTCCCCCAAAACCTTCAATTATTTTCACTTCATCCTTCCTTTACTTCAAAGCTCTCCATTCCCCTTCCCCTTCAAACTCCCAAACAAAGTCTTAAATAAGACTCAAACCTATGATTTTTGTTAAGAAATGTGGTTGGGCCTAACTCAACCCTACAAAACCGGTTGGTAGAGTGAGGATTACCCCCACTTATAAACACATGCCCATGCGATATAATGTCCGATGTGGGACTCTTAACACACCCCTTCACGCCAAGGGCTGGACATCTGGAGCGTGGAAATAAATGGTGGGTGGCCCGATAGAGGAAATCATAGAAGGTGGCCTACCGGATCTTAAACGAGGCTATGATACCATGTTAAGAAATGTGGTTTGGCCTAACTCAACCCTACAAAACCGGTTGGTAGAGTGAGGATTACCCCCACTTATAAACACATGTCCATGCCATATATTGCCCGATGTAGGACTCTTAATAGTTTTAGTACCTAAAATTCTTGAAATCCCTTTTCCTTACAAACTACCTAGATACTTGCTAATTCCTTATTATATCTTGAAATCCCATTTCCTATAAATCATATTCTAATCTTGTATCAGAGTAAAAAAAAGTATGCAGTGACACTGGCTCCTTTATATCAGTCTGGAGAAGAGTTTGGAATGGCTTATTTACAGTTACCAGAGCTTACACACTATATAAACACTTACATTAGTGTTTGAATGCCCTTGCAGAAAACAAGGTATAACATGCTCATAGCTCTTGAAAGTAGCTTATTGAATACTCTCCTTTAACTATATTGTTTATCAAAGACGCATCTTGAATAAAATTCTAAATCACACAAATAATAATTTGAGTTTGTGGGCAGCTATGTAGAACCGACACTTCGGATTAAAAGAAAGTCCAGTGTCCAACACATGGCAATATCTGAAGCCAGCATTTGCAATTACATTCAGTTGCAATCATTTTCTGAAATTATTAAGAGTGTCCGTGCGCTAGTGTTAGTGTCGCGTTTTTGTTTGTGCTTCAGAGGTTGGCGGTGTAGCAATCTATCAAACAACAAAACATACTCACTCAATTCTACACAAAACTTGGAGAGTATATCATACACACAAATATACATAAACATAAATCATATCTAACTATCCACATAAACACAAATTAGTACCTTATTATTCCATGGAAGCTTTTGCTCCAACCTCCTTCAACTTGGCAATAATAGTTTCAGCTTCCTCCTTAGTCACGCCTTTCTTCAAAAGAGTCGGTGCTTTCTCCACCAAATCCTTAGCCTCCTTCAAACCCAGACTAGTAAACGTCCTAACTTCCTTTATAATCTTAATCTTCGATGCAGCATCGAAAGCATCAAGCTTCACATCGAACGCCGTCTTCTCAACCTTCTTCTCCTCTCCTTTCTCTCCGCCACCAGCTTTAGCTCCACCCAAACCCTTCGGCAAGCCTCTGATTCCCATTCCGGGCACCATCAACATCATAATTGGAAGCTCGTTGATTCCCTTTTTCTCTCTCATCACATCAACGAGGTCCATCACTTCCAGTAGCGTTAATCCCATGAGTTCGTCCACAATCGCTGAGACCTTTTCGGAATCCGGCGATGCGGTATTGTAATTGCGTATGAAGGTAGATTCGCATTGGGATTTTCGATCAGATTGGTGTTGATTTGGTGAAACAATGTAGGGTCTTGAAATTTGAGGAGAAGTGAAATTAGGGTTTTGAGTTAGGGTTTTGCGGAAGCGTGAAAATTGTAGGAAACGTGAATACCTCATTGTTAACGGTGACGGAAAAATGCTAGTGGTGAGTTCTGTTTATCATTGCCGCATACTGAACGGCGTAACGGTTTTGGTGATGGTGGCTAGTTTGACTGATGTCAGAAACCAGATTCCTGAATGATCGTTGGGAATAAACCCTATTCACGAAGACGATGGTGGTTGGTTTACGCTTTTACCCCTCCCATCATGCGTAAATCTTAATTAATTTTTAGTGAAAACTGTCATTCACACAAAATAAAATAAAGAGTTTTTTACTTTTTATTTTTTTATAGTTCTTTGAAAATATAAATTTAGTCCTATGTGCCAATATCTTTCACGTAGATTATTACTTATTACTAATGGCATTATTAAAGATGTCATTTAATTGAAAATAAGATTTTTTATAAAAGAAAATAAGATAATTTAGTCTCTTAGTAATTAAAAATTAAAAATTAAAAATGAAGTTGGAAAATAGGGGAGATAAAGGAAATATGAGGATAAAAAACACAAAATCTAAAGATTTGTTTGCTTATGAGTTTTTTTATTTTGAAATTAGTATTAAAATCAAAACTTTCGCAAAAATAATTTGATTTTATTTTCTTATTTAATTTAAAACAACTTTTTAAATTAAAAATAAAATTAAAAAATTGTTTTTAAATTTAATATTTTTAAGGTAAGACATCATTATCAATAATCATTAATCACTATTTCAACTATTTCAACTATTATTATGATAACCAATACCACCATTTTAAAACACTACCATCTATCACTTCGATCACAATTTAAATCATTATTTTGATCACCATGACCACCACTAACCATAATTGAGCATTAGGAGTGAAAAAATGTCAGACCAAATCTTAAAAGGCTCAAGCTTAACATATGATAAATTTTCATGTTCTGAGCTTAGCCTATGACATATTATAGGCTTCTTTTTTAGATAACACTTGATCTTTTTTTAATAGTCTCAGCATGACTTGAAAGTCTATTAAATGTTTGTTTCACATTAAGACTTACAAATAGTCTATTTTACATATTTATTTTTAAAAATTAAATATATTTTTAATCTCTCTAAATATGGTTATTTTTACTTTTAATTCCTCTAAAATTTTTTTTACAAAGAATGGTCCTTCTAATATTTTCCATCCACACTTTTGGTCCCTCCTGCTAACGGCCGTTAACAGAAGCTGACGTGACATGCCTCGTGGAACTTTGTTTGATGACTGTGCATAAACGTGGCGGTGCCAACGTGATAGGATGCTAATGTGGATGCCACATGTCTAAAGTCAACATTGTTCACGAACCCAAAAAGCCACAATCTTCAATTCACAAAACTACTCACTACAAATTACCAGTGGTGACAGCAAATGAACCTAATTTTCCAAAACAAATGAAATAATTTTCTCATGGTAATAAAAAGAGAAGAGTGGTCAACCTCCATCAAGAAGTATTGTTGCTATAGTAAGTCCTAAGACCTTACCATCTTCAGATGAAGTGAGATGACTTCTTCCAAGGATGTATGTGATCACTATACCGCGCCTAATAGGTTCATCATAAATCATCCATTCTAATCATCCAAGAAATAGAGGGATAATGAAGAATATTACTAAAGCAAAAAAATTGAGAAAATTGATACTTACCACATCAGTACCTGTTAACGATCGTTAGCATGAGGGACTGAAGGTATGGATGAAAAATATTAAGAAGACTATTCTTTGAAGGAAATTTTTAGAGGGACTAAAATTGAATGATATGATATTTCTGAGGACTCTTTACATATGTAACCCTTTTAAAAAATAGACAAAATAGTCTTTTATATATTATTTAGTCTATTTTCTAATAGATATACATATATAGGCCGTCATATAAGACTTCATAGATTTCTTTAATAGCATAAGTCTAACCTATTTAATTAAATAAACTTTCCATTCTCATCTCTATCGATCACCTCTGATCACCACTTTATCCATCTATGATACATCAATTAGATTTTAAAAGGCTAAATATCCTCTTTTTTTTCTATTAGAAACTTTCTACTAAAAATATTTAGTATTCTTGTATCCCCTTATCCATATCATTTTCCAAAACCTTTAAATGCTGTTTAGTGAAATTATTTGAAATGTCTTGTTGAAAATTTATAATCTGATCCATTCTCTCCACTCTTTTCTTGGAAATAAGTGCAAAATACTAATTGTCCGAAGTATGAAATATATTTAAGACATAAGATAATATTGTTTTCTTATGAACTTTATGTTCCGTTATGGAACTAGAATTGACTAGAGAATGGAGGTTGCAAAATGCAGCGAGAGACTTGAGCTTTTGATGTGGTGAGGGAGGGACTGACCTGCAAGGCTAGCACTCGAATATCCAAGTCAGTATATGAGCAAGATGAGTGAATGAAGTTTGAATTTGAGTTATGTACATATAGAATGATACACTTTCTCTATATGTATTGGAACGATTATAACAACTCGATATCCTTCAAGCACAGGATGCAGAGAGTCGTTAGAAGTATCTTGGACATAGATCTCATGCGCTCTTCCCAAGGATAACATTCCTACTCTATGGGCAAAGTGGAAAATTATTTTCTTCTTCGTGCTGCGGCCATTGCCCCTTGTGGATGACCCATACCAGTTTCCCCTCAAACCCTTGTCTTTGCTTTGTAGTGCAAGAGCTTTTGTCATATCTGTACTTCTGTGTAGATAAAATCCTGACTTCATTGGAAAGCCAATAACATACATGAATGTTCTTTGGAATTCACACCTTAAGTTCTCCTCATGATATATATATATATATATATATATATATATATATATATATATATATATATATATATATATATATATATATATATATATATATATATATATATATATATATATATATATATATATATATATATATATATATATATATATATATATATATATATATATATATATATATATATATATATATATATATATATATATATATATATATATATATATATATATATATATATATATATATATATATTTCATAGGTTTTATCATAAAAATCTTTGGAAACTGAAATACTTGAGTGTTATTTGAGGTGATCTGGGACGTCAATAGTGCTTCATACCTTTCTTTAGGTAAGTCATTATGCAATCTCAATAGAGTTAGTTATGTAGTATCTTGAGATGGTACCTTTTCTTTGTCATCCATATTTTCTCAACGTACCATTTTTGTAGCTTAACGAAGTCATATTTATCATGAGTAAAAAAAAAATGCTTATACTTCTTGGGTTTATCTAATTACTTCCACAACTGCTTCTACCTTTGCTCGTAAAGATGGCCTATATAAGGCCTTTCTGGATGTAGGCCCTTATTTAGATTGGGGTGTACTAACCCCTAAGGAAGACAACTAGATTTGTAGTGAGTAGGGCAAATGCACTATTCCTTTCTATGAGTGCTCCTTTTCGATATTGGGCCTCTGCTTACCCATAAATGGCTTTGAGATAGAAGTTTTGAACCACTTGATGATCACTTCTTTGCACCTGAACCATGTGATTTTGGAGTATATTAAAGTATACTGTTTTTGATAAACTACAAGAGAATAATATCAATATGAAGATACTTGCATATGATGAATAAAGTGACAAGAAGAAGAAGACCTTAGCGCTTAAAATTGAAGAAAAAGATTCTGACTCTAGTGATGAGGAAATGACGTTAAATCGTTAAGAACCTCAGAAGATTCATGAAACGTGAAAAACAACAAGAGGAGAAAAATAATGAAGGAAGATCATCCTTCACTAGGATATGCTTCCAGTGTGAAAAGAAAGAGCATACAAGACCAAACTGCCCGCATAATCAAATTCACAAGAAGTCTAAGAAACCTCAATAGGAAGAAAAGAAAGCTTACATTACCTTGTATGACAATGACATAAACTTTTTAGATGATGAAGAAGGCAACATATGTCTCATGCAAATAATGAAGATTACAAGGTAACTTCTTAATTTTATTATCATGATTTGTTTTGTATTTTCAAGAAGTTAAACAAAGAAACAAGTAAGCTAAAATAACTTGTCTCCACTTTCAAAGAAACTATTTCGTTCCTTGAATTTGAAAATAAAAACCTTATGGAAGAAGTGGAAAATATTAAAGAAAGACAATGTGATTTAACTCGAGTCTCCTCTCCTTCTAAAAAAGTCTTAGATAAATCTGTCACGTGCCGTCAATGCGGTGTTTTTGAAAATGAAAACAAAGATTGGAAAAACACATCTTGAAAGATTTACTAAAGAAAAAGAAAACTTAAATCTCATTATAAAAAATCAAAGAGCATCATATAATAAGGAGGACCTAGACTCTAAACCTGATGATAATGCTCTGAAGTTTGATAAAATTTACCATGCTCAACAAGTCCCTAAATGCAACTATTGTAATAGAAATGACCGCGTTGCTCCTTTTTGTTTTATCAAAAAAGTCATGAAATAAAAGATGGACACCCTCCTTTATACTTTTATAAAAAAAGCATCATGAACGCAAAATGAAAAACACGTCCTCTACATATTTATGCAATTGTGTCCCTTGTGAAAAATCTAGTAGGAATACTTGTCAAATTAAAACTAAAGAATCTAAAATGATTTGGGTACCTAAAGTTAAGATCTAAGTTTTGTGAAGGATTACTTTATATTATCAAATACTAAATGGTATATTAATAGTGGTTAGGGATGACAACGGATACTAGTTCCCTGCTACCCGTCCAGTTTAGTAAATATGATACTCGTACTCGCCTCATACTTTTGCAAGAATTTGTCAGACCTGTATGTGTGAGTTTTGAGATATCCATGAATATTTACGGATATCCATGGATACTAATATTTAAAAAAATAGAGTTAACTAATTTTTTTAATCCCTTTTAAAGACAAAAAAAATAGTTTCAAATTTAATACATGAAAATAATAACAAAAATAAATCACATTTATTTTATTTTTTTTATCAAATAATTATACTATACTCAACAAAATAATAATAATAATAATAATAATAATA